GTGTGGAGGAAGCACAACTGGTTTCTTCATCTGTAGGAAGAACGGCTCTTTATGGCAGAGAACTTATTTATTTTGGGTAGGTTTGAATTCTGTTTAAGCAAACAGATATGTGTGTGTGCCTCCCACGTACCTTGCTATTTCTGCTTAGCAATTAAAGGCTTCCGGATCGGTTGTTTTTCTTCTCACCACCTCGGGTGCTTGATCCTTCCTATTTTCTTTCTCTTCTTCAAAGATGGTGGTGTTGCAAAAGATTTCCCTAGGGACACGCCAATAGGAAAGAATGGAAGCCCATCGGAATAAGTTAATGGTGGGGGAGAGGGCAGGAGAGAGAGAGAGAGAGAGACTAGATGGGAAAATAGCTAGAAGAATAAAATAGTAATTGGCAAGGAATGCAGTGTGGAAGGGGAAGGGGAATCAGCTGCAACTAAGAGGATGCTAGGAGCATCAAAGCATCTAGAGAATGCTTAAAGGAAAGGAGGAGCTAAAACTGACAAGGAAATGTGAAATATAGAAAATAGTTACAGATTCTGCATGTGATCCTTGGTTGGTTTTAATTAGCAGGGTGGTGGGCAGAACAGCTGACTGCAGGCAAAGCCATATGTGTGTGTGTGTGTAAGCAAAACCATCCATACCTGTAGCAGAAGCCAGAAATAGGCAGAGGAAAGTAATAACAAAATAAATGCAGAGCAGAGCTGGGAGGGGACCTGTATAGCAGCACAAATAACAACCTTTAAGCTTCATTTTCCTGCTCCACTAGCAAGCAGGTGCACAGAAAAAAAGCAACAGTGACAGTACAAAATAAGAGCTGTGGAAAGAACCATATAGCAGTATAGTGAAGGTTTTCTTTCAATCCACACTTTTCCCCCAGCAAATCTTCCTCAAGAAAATAGAATTTGAAATTGGTAGTATAAATATAATGTGTTTGGAAGCTCAAATTAGCTGGCATATTTTAGCACATCTTATTGTGCAAAATCATCTTATGGGGTTGACATCGCTCGGAGTGTTGTGTTATTCAAACCCAGAAAATTAGATTGAATCAACAACATAACAACAGGTTCACAGGTCATGTAAATACAGCTACTGTAGTTAGTTGAGATCATCAAGTAAGACTTAACTCCTGGTGTCTATATAGACAAGTGATCTGCATCTCAAACTGCTATCAATTATATCTCAGAGCTGCAATTCAAAGGATAGCTATTTAAACTGTTTGATACTGTCCATTCATCTTATCCATTATCTTTTCATTCTGGTGATATTACAGAATTCTGGTGATGTAATATTTGAGTCCAAAATATGAGTTTGCTTGCCAATAATTATCTCAAATATTGAATGGTTTTTCTTGTACTCCATGTTACTGTTAGTAGTCACCTCCAAATTCGTAATTCAGAGGTAAGGTAAAGGAGTCCCTGCGGATTTTACTCTGCTAGTCGTTGCTGATTATAGGAAGTGGTGCTCATCTCTGTATTAAGGCCATTGAGCCAGCATTGTCCAAAGACATTACTGCATTCATGTGGCCAGCATGACATCACAAAGCACTGTAAACTTCCCACCCAAATAGTACCTATTTATCTACTCGCATTTGCATGCTTTCAGACTTTCCAGCAACAAGCCCAGCATCTTAACTGCTGAGCCACCGCGCCATCCAAATTCAGAGGCATTGTACTATTTTTTCATTCAAGACCAGCTTCCACATTAGCATCAGAAACACTGATTTGATCTTTCTTATCCATATTTATCCATATTTATTTGTTTTATTAGATCTAGGCATTGTTTTGACTTTAAAACAAGTCTGGGCAGTTCACAGCATCAAAGAAATTACAAAACATACAGTATATGTAAACAAGATGGTATCCAGCCAATTAAAACATAACATGTACAACAAGAGTCCTCTTCTACTTATGCCAAGGCAAAGGGAAAATATTATTGTTCATGACTTACCTAAGTTTGTCATTGCTTTCCCCAGGGACTGAATTCTCCTTCACATTATCCATTTTTATCTCCTGATTGTGCCAAAGAAAACAAAACTACGTAGCACCTTCGTTTCTTTACTATTGCTGCATGTTTGCTAAGCAGGTTGACTGACAACTCTGTCTTAATGTTTAACAGATTTTTACTTTCCAATTTTAGTCTCATAATTTAAAGTCTTTTTCTTACAATTCCTTTTTTCAATTTTTTTTTATTTTATATTCAAAATGTTAAAATACAAGGCAAGACCAAAAAATGTGCAAAAAAGAAAAAGACATACACATAAATTGTCTTGATAAATATATTTCTAGAATAATGATATGTTGTGACACGCCCATTAGCCTTAGCATGTGCCATATCCTGTTATGATTTACACAATCAAAAATCTTGCTCTAGTTAATAGAACAACAGTAGGCCATTTATAAATACTTGCTGGATCTGTTTTCCATCTTGTTTTCTGCTCTTTTGCTCTCTCTTAATTTTTTTTCTGCATACCGCACTTCTTTCTTCATTTATGAACCTATCATTCTTCGTAAGAATATGTTTAGTCATGTGAGAAGTTAGTGTAATGGTTTAGGAATCTTCATCCTACATTTTGATTTGGGGTTCAGACTTGCTTAAAGATTTCAGCCACAATTTGCATTTTTCTTGGCAATACTAAAAAAATAATTTGCCCTTGTTTTTTAGATTTTTTTATCCCATCTTTATTATTTTTATAAATAACTCAAGGCAGCAAACATATCTAATACTCTTGCATCGTCCTGTTTTCCCGTCAACATCTCTAAGGTGAGTTGGGCTGAGAGAGAGTGTCTGGCCCAAGGTCACACAGCCGGTCTTCAGGCGTAAGGTAGACTAGAACTCACAGTCTCCTGGTTTCTAACTTGGTGCCTTTACACTAAACCAGGGGTAGGCAACCTTGGCTCTTTTATGACTCATGGACTTCAACTCCCAGAATTCCTGAGCCAGCCATGCTGAGGAGAAAGGGAGAGGTTTCCAAGCTGAGCCATGGTGGCTCAGGAATTCTGGGAGTTGAAGTCCACGAGTCATAAAAGAGCCAAGGTTGCCTACCCCTGCACTAAACCAAGCTGATTTCCTGGCTTCTCGTCCCAGCTGGTATTTAGACTTCTTTTATGGGAACTTGACTTTCTTTATAATTGCAGAGTTCTATCTACTGTCGCCTCTCATTATTCTTAATTTCACCCATATAAACATGTCTTTGCTAGCAAAGATAACCCTGTCAAGAACTTCCACTTTTATCAAAGTTACACAGCAGGTTACTGAGGCTACTGAGTCCTCCCACCATGTCAATTGCTTGTGTGCTCCTCTAGATTCTAGATTACATACGTGGCATGCAACCAAGATATTTAAGAGACTGCTTCTCTCTGACTACATCTATCCATGTCATCAGATCCATCAGGAGAAGCATGTTATGGGTCTTTCAAACTTGTGAAGGTTGTAAATGTGAGGATTGTTGCCTTTTTCATCGTAATTATAAAGAGTTGCCCAACAAGGCTGTCACTAAATATAGACTACTTGCACCATCTGTATTCATCTTTGTATGAACTGGAGGGGGAAAGGAAATGTTTTCTCAATTAGTGTGCAAATCCAGGGTTATCCAGTTAAAGTGACAGGCAGTTGAGACAGCCAAAAACATCCTTAATTTGCTTTGGAGTGGCCTGGCATAAAATGGGAATATTTTAATAGCCTTTAAAAGATACAGCTCTCAATTTCTGATACTCGGCTTCAGAGGCAGTGTGCCTCTTAGTAACAAGTGCAGGAGAGGAGCAGCAGAATAGCACATTGTCCCAAAGACATCTTGCTGTCAAATTTGGGAAAGAAGATGCTGGATTGGTTGGGCTTTTTTGTCTGATTGTGTGGGGCTGTTTTTATATACTTAGGAAAGGGAACCGTGTTGCTTGGATTCTGAAGATCTTGTGTATAGTTAGGCTGCTTAAACTGTATTGGTTGAATAAGTCTTACAATGTGCAAAACTACAACTATGATAATTCCTTATAGAAAGGTCAAACATTTGGGACAAATTACAATTCAAAACAGGAACCTGAACCCCTTCCCCCCAATTAACATATATTGCTTTCTTTAAAGAAATACCATTTTGAAATGTTTACTGAATTAAAGTTATGGGTAAATCTTTAGCTAATGTTCTAAATGTAGTATCTTAAGCTACCATAGCTTAATATACTTACTACTTCAGACAAAAAGGATACAAAAAGAATACTTGAACTAGTTTCTATGGCATTTTCCCTGATGAAGTAACCACTTCAATCTCCTCCAAATACTCCTATCATTTCATTGATATATGAATTAAACAAAAATGCAAACGGAACATCAGTATTTGCAGTTTGCCATAGTTGAGTTAGGATCAGATATGAAAGCCTTTTCTGAGACCCAAATAAATCAGCAAGTCAGAAGAGTGCTATAATCTCTCTTTTTTTCCATAAAAATAACTCTTTAATCTAGTAAGAAATGACTTGAGTAATGCATTTGGAAAGGGAACCGATGCCCAAGGAAATGTAACATGTCTTCTCTTGCAGCTTCTTCTTTGCTCTGCAGACTCTGCTTTTTCTTTTAAGAAAATGATAATATGCATTTTCTTTTTAAAAAGTTGCACATTATTTGCAAGAATTCATGGTTACATCTTTGATAAACATGTTCTATGTAATTACAAAAACAAAACCCACATTAAAGAGATAAATTCACCCATCACATTAAGCCAACGTTATTTAACAAATATCTTAAATAAGATGACGTAGTCTGATTCATATAATGCAATGCCATTAACTTTGTTTATAAGCCACTATTGGTGTGCTTGTACATCACATCAAAGCTAAACCAAACTTCTACTACTGTGTTACACTACATATTTAAAAGACTGACCGAAAAATTTTTCTACACCAAAGACTTCTGAATTTAGATCTCATGTAAAAAAATTTTTCTTGTAAATCAAAAGAAAGGAAGGGGTGTTTAAGTCATTATAAAGAAAGTTTTAGTGTTCTCACCCGCATATTTATTAAGCAACGAAAACCGTACATTTTTACGACCTTTGTGGGGGGGAACAATTTTTTATATTATAATTTTTCTTAAAAGTTATATTACATTTCACACAACATCTGCTTAATGGCAACACAGCACAGAACCTTTTTTTCTTAATTAAACTTGGCAGACACGTTAAATTCATTATAAAATTAGGTTTGTTTTAAATTGATTTTGATTCCTGGTAATTTCATGTAACTTTTAAGGAAGCAAGACTCTCTAAGTTCGCTCAGTGAAATGATTCTGATATAATTCTTTTAGGTTTCTAGCACTAACTCCTTGGAAATTTTACCACCTGGTTTCGCTCATACTACTTGGAATAGTCTTTATGCAGATGATGAAGGAATTAGTGCTGTCTAGACTAAAAGGTAAGGTTTTGCTTTTCTACCTAATTTAGCATGTAATGTTATATCAGTAAAGTCTGGAAGCCAATCAGTATTACTTTATCCACCTAATTTAGAATTTAAAGTCTCGGGTAATCTACCTTGGGTGCCATATCAGTAAAATAATTCCCTCCCTCTCCATTCTTAGTTTTATTTTAATTGAATTTTGAAATTTAAGATCCTTCCTTATTGTTTTAATCTTTTACATTGCATTTTATCCAATGTCTTTAAGCTGCCTAGAGTCGTCTTTGGCAAGATGGGCGGCATACATGTTAAATAAACTAATAAATGAGTTGCTTAATATTGTGATTAGACAACTTATCAGCTCACTAAGAGAAATGACTCATATCAACTAATTTATCCCAGAATATATTCTGATGTCAGCTCCTAAATTGTAAAGATCATATCCACATAAGCATGTTTGAAAGCTTGAACTGTGTTATGTGATTTCTTTAGCTACAAGAGCCAATTCCTATGTTGTATTTATATAGCTTAATTATGATTCTGAATATGGGTCACTTATGTGTGTGTGTGAGAGAGAGGTTGTTAAAGCAACTTGATGGCTCATAAGTAATATATTCTAGGCCACAGAGGAAATACCTTTTGCTTTGATTACTTATCCTATTCTGATTTCAGGTGGGCAGTTATGGCGACGTCTCACTGACTAGTAAGTACTGATGACTTATACCTATCCATATCTTTATTTTGCCAGGGACTTTTAAGTATCAGAATTTTCTCATGATTTTCAGATGAAGAACGAATTTGGGTTTCTAATTTTTATAAACTTTTCTAGAAATGTTAAAATATTTTTAATTAATTGATTTGTCAAAATGCCATGTAAACTTTGTTCAAATTTTGCTGAGTCTGCTTCCGTTAAATCTTATTCTTGGTCCATCTGAGCCAAAGATACAGTGTGAAATACCCAATATCATCTATGGCCTGGTCATGGATTGACTACTGCAATGCATTCTACATGGGGCTGCCTTAGAAGACTACCAGAAGCTTCAATGGGTCCAAATATGGCAGCACAAGCAGTATGCCTTAATATGCTGATGTAACATCTCTGCTTTCTAAGATGAACTGAGCTGCACTGGTTGTCAATTTGCTTTCAAGGTGCTGCTTGCTATCTATAAAGCCCTACATGGCATAGGACAGTGATGGCGAACCTTTTAGACACCGAGTGCCCAAAAACCGCTCCGTCACCCGACCCCCTGCTCCAACCCCCGCCTGCAGGGCCACCTACCGCCTGCATGGCCCACCGCAGTAAATCGCCCAGGTGGCCCTGCAGCACCATGGCAGCTCCGCCTGCACCCCACAGCATCATCTGTGTGTGACGGGGCGCGAGGGCGGAGTCTTGTCTCTGCTGCCGAGCTGCCATGTCCTTGGCTGAGCTGCTCCGCGCAGACTGCGCCCTGGGGTGACTGTACTCCGTGGTGGCTGCTGATGGGGCCGTGGGGAGAGGCGGGGCTGGGGCGACAGCGCGCATGCCCACAGAGAGAGCTCTGCGTGCCAGCTCTGGCACGCATGCCATAGGTTCGCCACCATTGGCATGGGACCTGGTTACTTGAAGAACTTCCTGTCTCTCATATGATCTTCCCAGCTGATCTAATCTGAGAGGGTTAGTGTGCTCTGGATTCCTTCAGTTAAACATTGTCATCTGTTGGAATCCCAGAAACGCACCTTCTGTGTAGCAGTACCTCTAGGATGAGGTTACCCTGAAATCCAAACAGCCTTGCCCTTCTGGTGTTTCAAAAGGCCCTGAAGAACCGGCTCTTCACCCAGGCCTTTGGCAAGGGCGATTGAAGCCTTTTCTTCTTTGCTCCATCCAGTTTAATCATTTCTGCCAATTTTCCCTGTTTTTAAATGTTTTAGCAGTTTGTAAACCATCCAGAGCCGCTAGGACTCAGGAAGCATATAAATTTAATACTATTATTATATTCTCCTATGATTCAGAAGGGTGTTAGTTTACAGTTTCAGATTTCCTTCTTTTAAGAAGTTCTAGCTAAAATGCTAAGGGGCACCTGCTTCAGTGAAAGTTAGTCTGGGTAAAACACTTGGTGAATTTTCTTTTGCCAAATTCCTTTAATAAGTGACTGTTTGGTCTATGCTGTAATGCATTTAAGAATCTGGATTCCATCTGAGATGTGATGTCAGCACAAATCCTATAGTAATAGACACAGCTAGATGGAGAACAAAAACTACCGCCTCTATAAGACCCTTTACTTTTATCTCTCATTAGCAAGATAAGCAAGATTACTAAATTGCTAAATTTTGGTCTGCTCTTCTTTCTTACTGGTATTCAGTGTTTTTATCACTCATGATAGAATCACATAGAATATGTTAGGCCAAGAGAAATTGCAGAGCCAAAGTTGTCTAGAATGATTCATAGCTGTAAGGATATTTGATGAAAAGATGTTCTCTGATTGCCTAAATTAACACCTGTAACTGTTGTAACAAACTGGCTTTTGATGAATAGAATGATGTACCTGCTGTAAAATAGATAGCAATGTGAAAATAGCAATTTTTGGTCCCACACTCTGTTTATATAACCTTATTTAGTTATCTATAATTTATACACTGCTCAGTTCCAAAATTGTTTTGAGTATCTTACTATAATCCTAAAGCAAATAGAATAGGAAACCAACCAACCAACCCAGTAATAGTTGGTTTTCTAAACTTTGACTCATCAGAGAAAACAATATTAACAGCAATAATAACCTGCCTCAGAGAGGAGACTCACCATAGTGGCTCAGGAATTCTGGGAGTTGAAGTCCACGAGTCATAAAAGAGCCAAGGTTGCCTAGCCCTGCACCATACCAGGAATCCCCAGAGGCTTTCCAAAAGAACCAGGTATTGGCATCTTTCCTGGCTACCTTTCAGGGTAGACCACATTGGGAAACCAAGATTATGAATGCTAATACAGATAGTCCTCGACTTACGTCCACAATTGAACCCAAAATTTATGTTGTTAATTGAGACATTTGTTAAGTGAGCTTTGCCCCATTTTATGACCTTGCTACAGTTGTTAAGTGAATCACTGCAGTTGATAAGTTAGCAACACGGTTGTTAAGTGCGTCTGGCTTCCCCATGGACTTTGCTTGTCAGAAGGTCACAAAAGGGAATCACATAACCCGGGGACACAGCAACAGTCATAAATATGAACCAATTGCCAAGCATCTGAATTTTGATCACATGATCATGGGGATGCTGCAAAGGCCGTAAGTGTGAAAAGTGGTCATAAGTCACTTTTTTCAGTGCCATTGTAACTTTTAATGGTCACTAAATGAACTGTTGTAAGTCGAGGACCACCTGAACTACTTTGACTATAAAGTTACAGTAACAGACTCTTGAAGATCTGAACGGGCCTGCCCCCTCCCTCCCTTTATCTTCCAGAGAACTACAGAGGGTCAAGTCTGAAACTTTCAAATTTTACTTCTCAAATTACATTTCTGACTTGGACTTAAATTTTTTTTAACACTGTTGCCTTGATTGTGACTCTTCCTGCTGTTCCTCAAGTTCATTCTTACTTCCCATTGCAGTAGGGCCAATATTGACCCAGAGCACTATTCCAAAGATAGGCCCCTGTAGAAAGAAAACATCCTGAAATTGCCACATTGAAAATGGCAGTCATTCAAGAGAAGGATTTAAGGAGTGCCTTCCTCAGTAATTCTTATGGGATAGGCAGAAGCTCCAGGAAGTAAAGAACTCGCATACATCTGAAGGCTGTCTAAACTTCTTTTTTTTAAAGTATTTAAAAATACTTTGTATGTATGTGTATAGTGATTGAATGAAGGTTTGGGCTTTCAGAAGCTGTCATCTGGTTTTATCTTCTTTATTTAATCTACTGGTGAAGACAGTTCATGTTCAGCTTCATTTCAATTTGTCTTTCAATTTCTGGGCACAGCTCCTCTAATGCTGTAGTTTTAAAATGTCTATATGTGTGCATGGATGTACTTTTCTTATACAAAAAATATATTGGATTTATTTGCTTATTTAAAATCAGTTTATTAACATTTACAAATACAAACATAAAAGAGTAATGCAAAGAACATGGAAAAATAAAAGAGCAAAAAGATATATATATATATGAATGATGACTCCCCCCTCCTTCCAGACAAGTATAAATATTTTCATCTTCAGTAAAAAAAATCTCTCTTCTTTCCATATCTCATCCCTTGTCAATAATCAAATTGTAAAGATTTATCATTCAGTCCTAATCAGCAAAGGTTTATTAAGAGCTGTAATAATTACATTCTTGGTAATTGATGTGAAGATCCTGAAGAGGGCAGTAAAGTGTATCAAATATAATGTACACTGTATGATGTAGGGAACAATATATATATATAGGCTTTTATGAAATTCCATATTTGGCATATTCTCAGTCTTCTTGAGAAGCAGATAGCTAGATGATAGACAAACAAACATAATACAACATACAAAATACATTTATTTCAATCTACAATTCTTGTTTAACTTACTCTTATTCTATTTGATTTTCCATAAAACTGGATTATAAATAATTTCACTGATGCCTAAGACTGTAAGAGGATCACAGTTTAAGTATTAATCTTTCACTTCTTCATACCTTTCAAACTTGGATTTTTTTTATTACAACTTGTAATTGTAATTCCTTCTTCACTTCTATTTATATGCTATAAGAATAAATAGTTTTAAACAATGGGAAAAGAAAAGGATACATTATGAGTTTTGAGAGACAGTTTGATGTAGTAGGTTAAGTCACCGGGCAAGAAACTGGGAAACCATGAGTTCTGGTCCCACCTTAGGCATAAAGCTAGCTGATTGACCTTGAACCAGTCACTCTCTCTTAGCTCTAGAAAGAAGGCAATGGCAAACCACTTCTGAATCCTGCAGGGTCTAGGCATGAAGTCACTAGGTGTCAACCCTGATTTGAAGGTAGAAAACAAAAACATAGGAGTTGGTAAAAAAAATTAATTTTATTAATATTTCAAATTGTTATCCAGCATATAGTATAAGTAAGAAAAGTGTGCAAAATTGAAGACTGTGAAGGTCAGAAGGGTTTTGTCAGCATAGTCATTGCTGGAGAATAAAGCATTAGCTTCCTGCCTTTTGCTTGTGGCCTGGCTTGCTGAACACAATTATTTATAAAACACAAGCAAGTGTTACAAAACACTCTCTTTACAGAAGGCACAGCATCCGGGTTATAATGATACTAGAGGGTGTGTTTTCCATCAGAACACTTGATTAGTTGCTAACTTTGGCAGGAATGTCCTGGCACAAGTTTATCACAGCATGTGAATGCTTCAGCAAAAAAACATGTTTATTTTCTTTCACTATTTTCTGCTTAAAGTCTGACCTCATGCAGTCTTCTATTATGCATGAAAATAAACTGTTGCAACATATTTTCTGTGAACTGGGTTTCTCAAGTAAACAGAGACATAGTTTGTTTATGTACCAAAAATCAGTGAATGTTTAAATATTTCTGGCACATTCTATATGTCCTTTGATGCCCTTAATCATATAGCAACTCTGTCCATGTTTAACTCATTGGCCATATTTCTGAAGGACCTATTGGGCATGATAGAATTTACATGAGACAAATTCTGTTGTGTAGAAAATAATGTGTGACTTTTATAATTACCACTGAGTATGATCAGTCATTTCATTTTATAATATGCTATATGCCAG